TGAGTATTGAGAATTATTGAAGAGTGACACTTCAATTTCCAATCTACGATTGAATTCGATGTATTCTCGCATGATAATGGTTATTCTTATTGATTAGTCGGTTGACAACCTTCTAGTCTAATCTAATCGACTCTTAGAACCGGAAGGGGAGGAGTCGGTCGAAATAGGCTCGTACAAACTAGGCTTGTTCGTAACTGTATTGCCTAGGAGTTAAATGACTTGTTAATTTTGCCGTTCAAGTTTGTTCTCTTGTTACGAAGAGTTATTGAGGATGAGTACTTGAACGAGCAAATTATTCAAATCACTTAACCGAATGATCACTTGCCCAATTGTCACAACTCGAACCAAAACGGATATCCCCGACTCCCTAGCTCCTTAAATCCTATTTGTTCTTCGTCGTTGCTTACTATTTTCATTTGCTTAATTTGAAGTTGTTTTTCGTAGTTAATAATCAAACCAAATCATTTGAATTAGTATGTCTAGGATCTTTATTTCTTTTATTTGTTTTTGAATAAACGTATAGAATATTCCGGCTAGCCTTCCTCGTGAGACACGACCCGGTGTTCGAATCTTTAGATTCTACTCCGGTTAAAATATTTACAACACTCATCCACTTAGCACACCAATGGTTGTCCGATCCCTTGAAGCGGATAAGGATCCATTTAGACCTAAAGAAGATACCGAAGAAAATTTAGGACCAGAAGTTCCTTACTTGAGCGCCATTGGCGCGTTACTTTATCTTGCAAATTGCACCAGGCCTGATATTGCATTTGCAGTAAACTTGCTAGCAAGGTTTAGTGCTTCTCCTACGAGGAGACACTGAAATGGTATTAAACATATTTTTAGGTATCTTCAAGGGTCACAAGATCTTGGTCTACTTTATAAGAAATATCAAGATATGACATTGGTGGGCTATTCGGATGTTGGTTATATGTCTGATCCCCATAATGCTAGATCACAGACTGGTTATGTTTTTCTCTGTGGTGGTACTGCAATATCTTGGAAGTCAGTTAAGCAGTCCATGGTTACTACATCTTCAAACCACTCAGAGATAATTGCTTTATACGAGACTTCACGAGAATGTGTATGGTTAAGATCTTTAATCCAACATATTCGTGGGTCATGTGGAATTACAAATGATATAACCCCCACTGTCCTTTACGAGGATAATGCAACTTGTGTTTTACAAATGAGTAGTGGGTACGTCAAAGGAAGCATGACAAAACACATTGCTCCAAAATTCTTTTACCCACACGAGCTCCAGAAGAGCGGTGAAATTATTGTACAAAAAGTACGATCTAGCGAGAATTTGGCAGACCTATTCACCAAATCCCTTCCTACATGATTAGGTCCTCAAGACCAAGTGTTGTACTCTTTTTTCCTTAATTAAGTTTTTCCCATTGGGTTTATTAGTTAAAGGTTTTTAATGAGCCAACTAGTAAAACACATGAATTTTTATAAATCATGTGCTCTTTTTCCCTTGACTAATTTTTTTTTCCCTGTCGGGTTTTTATTAGCAAGATTTTTAATGAGGCATGTAGTAATGTCCAAGGGGGAGTGTTATAAATATATGAATATGAACATTACTAATAGACAATTGGGCCTGAAGTCCATTAGTTAGGGAAATTAGGTTTTAGGACTTCTTACTTATAAACCCTATAAAATGGTGATATACGATGAATAAAATTTAGACTTTTCTGCTCTTATGTCTCTTGTTCTCTCGCTCATTTCTCTTTACTTTGTTTGGTGTGGATTGATGAACGATTGAGGATCCCAATTTATAACAAACATGAACAATGCAATTGTTCATTTGATGAGTCTGCTTATGATGGTGCAAACGTACTAAGAACAATGCTACGCTACCAAGATAATTTATAAATTGAATTATAAAAAATGCTACATTATCAAAATGATTTACTAATTGAATTATCGAAAATAGATAATACAAACATTTATTTCCTTCATTAATATTACCAAGGTCAATATTTCAAATTTTATCATGCATAATTTCGACAGGCCAATCGGTAAATTAGTATCTTGCAAAATAGATTAAATCATGCATGTACTCAATGTGTCTTTCTTACCTTTTCCATTTTAAATCTCCAACTCATGGTTGTGATAGCCGATAGGACACAAAATTCTTGATTAAAGAAAAAAAAATACGACGATTTTATACCACAAATGTACCTTTATTCTACCAGCATTTATTTTTATCCCGTACAATAATGGAATTAACAAAGTAGAAATGATATCCATGTCACATATCACCACGAAAAAAAGCAGAGAGATAACATAAATAAAATAAATAAATAGATAAAAACAGCACAAAAACATATCTTCTTCCTCCCCTAGACCATAACATATGGGAAAAAAAGCTAACGTTAACGTGCATGGCGTGAGTGCAAAGAACAATCTCTTTTTATTTATTTATTTATTTATTTATTTTGTGGCAATATAATTATTTTTCGGTTACAAAATCTATACCCTTCTTTATGACGACATATTTTATTCACCATGGATTGAGACATTAGTTGTTGCATTCAAGAATAAGATTTGTCACGTAAGGTTTTTGTTAGGCTTTTATCCTATTTTTGGTTCGTGGAAGTATGTGTAGTGTAGGCCTTCTTTCAAAAGGCATCTTTTAGCTCTTCTTTTAATAAGGGATTATTTGAGTGGAGGGAACTTTCACGTAAGCATTTTCAGTCACGAATTATTATCTCCCCATTTTAAAGAATTATTGATTATTTTTTTATACTTTATTTAAGGCAAAAATGATTTTTATTCAATTCGGTTCGAAGAAATAAAAAAAAAAAATAAGTAACTTTGAAATGTCACTTAATAAAAATCAGAGGAATATATACTAGTTACATATTTATTATCCTATATACTCATATATAAATTAATTAATAATGATAAAATCTCAGAAATTATATTGTATCATACTCTATATTACCTTGAAATTATTATTCACACATTTATCAAATTATATAGATCTAGTGAGTTATTATGGGCTACTTATATTATATGTAATTAATCACACAAAATTTGAGAATTGGAATATAATCTAAAATTTCCATAAGGAATGACATGCGTTAGCTTGTGGCCATTGGCTGCTCGGTTTGTGAGCAACTCACGCTTGCACGCGATCCTCGTGAGGTGGCACTGGCAAAAAACTCCACGTATTTGCTGACTGTGCCAAAACGAAATTAATTAATATTTAATGGTGACCAATTAATTTTGTTTTAGGGTGATATTATTTGCTAAGTACACTCCAATTCGGGAAAGAATATACTAATAATTTGTCCGTACGGAGCCTACCTTTCCAAACCTGGCATTAATTTTGGAATCAGAATTTGCTATGTACCCAACCTTTTCACCTAATATATGCCTTGAATAATATAACTAATATTTAATATAATACTCCCTCCATTTTGAAATATAAGGATTTAAAGTTATTGCACAAATATTAAGGAGACATTAATTAATAAATAAATTGACTAAATTAACCTTATTTACTCTAATCACAATCACTCTACACTTCATTAATTTCAACACACTGAGGGTATATTTAGAAAAAAATGCAAAAATTTGTCTTGATTTTTGAGCGCGCCTTATATTTCAAAAAAATTAGGAAATCTTTATACGCCTTATATTTCAAAATGGAGGGAGTAGTATTTTGTCAATAAATCCTATTATATGTATACCAAGACTATATATATTTCTATACAAGTGTAAACGAGTCGAGCCTATCTCCATCTTCTAATATTAGAGTCTGAACTTGAGTCTTATCGAGATGAGTCGTTCTTGTTTATCAATATTAACGATCCAAACTTAACCTTTAACAAGTCGAGCTCGAACCGAACAATGGTGAAAATTAATTAGAAAACTACATAAAAAGTCTCTATATTCCATACTCAACTCTTTAACTAAATAAATTTAAAATAATATTGAGACAGCCCATTTATCAAACGAGACAAGTCGAATCAAGCTCCAACAAAGCTAAAAAAAAATAACTTAATTAAACAATTACATAAAATTTCTTATTTTCTTGGTTCGACTCAGCGCGATAATTAAATAAGTTTTAGACTAGTTCAGATTTAGCTGAAGTCTACTCAGCTCGATTTATTAACTAAAAAAGCTCCAAATCTGACCCGATTATCAAACAAGGCCAACCGAACTTACAAAATATAAGTCATTTTCTTTTAACTCGTCTCGCAACTATATATATATACTGCCCTAGACGAAAGGAAAACCACCCGATCTTTTCATGCATCATATATAGTACGTGTAGATCTTCTGCCACGTGGCCACACAACCGTACGCCACGCAAAATTAATAAAGAAACAAAAAAAAACCTTTATTTCGCCTCTTTGCATTCGAAATCCAAATTAAATAATTTACTTTAAGAGGTAAAAAATAAAATCGCATCAGAATAACACACATTCATAGTGCCAATCGCAGTGTTCCATTAAAATCACCTCCAAAAAAGCACCAAAAATTCCTGTTAGACTCAAAACCCCACAAAAAAATATAGCACAAAACAAAACTCCAGTATTTTGTTCTTTACTATAAATCTTTGTCAGATCAGAAAAAATAAAAAAAAAAATTTATGTCCGATTTATTTGTCCGCCATGGCTGAACTTGAACCACACGCGCCGTCGAAGGGCCTCAACAGGCCGTGTATTCTACTCATTAGTAAGCGAATTTGAATCTGAATAGCTATTTTTTTTTCGTTATCGTAATTATTATTTTCGATCTATTTTTTTATTCAATTAATTTGGTTTTTTTTCGCAACAGCAATATCTGGGATGGAGAGGTTTGCGTTCAAAGGGGTGGCGTCGAATCTGGTGACGTATCTGACTGACGTCATGGGGATGAGCAACTCGTCCGCCGCCAAATTCGTGAACAGCTGGGTAGGGTTCACGTCGATGTTGCCGCTGGTAATAGCGACTCTTGCGGATTCCTATTGGGACCGACATAACACGATTTTAGCATCTTCAGTGCTATATTCTGCGGTCAGTACAACAATCCGTATAACATAGTACTCCTACAATTTTACTTTAATTTAAATTTACACGTGTTTATTTTATTTTTATTATTATTTTTTATTTTTTTAAATTAAGTTTTGTTATTGGAATGTATTTGTTCGGGCGAATTGGTGAGTGGGAATCTACATGCATATCATTTTAATTGTTTGAATTCATGGGTTAGGGTGTTGTGGAGTTCAAGTCACAATCCATTCCATTTATGGAGTTATAATTATATAAACAAAATAATACATATGGAATTCTAGATACATATTTTGCCTATAGTGAAAGATAAAAAATTGTGTTGTTTGACCAAAATTGGCAATACACAATTTCTTTCCTAAGGCAATTTGTTGTGTGTGGGGGCAAATAGTGGGTTGACTTGTCGTACCATTCTAATCAAATGTATATTTATGTCATGAAACGTCATATTTTTGTTTACGCTGTTTTTTGTTTTTAAGTATGACATTTCAATTTGTTTACGCTGTTTTTTGTTTTTAAGTATGACATTTCAATTTGAAAATATTCATATCTGATATCTTGTGTTGAGGTACAACTAAGGTGTACATTGGTATAGCTTATTGTTCTCTATAATTCTATATAGTTCAAACAACGCACTAACTCCAAATAAAATTATTTTTTTTGGGTTATATGATTTAATTCAAACAATGAGGATAAGGCCTTCATTCAATTGGCTCTTGCTTTAGCTTTTATTCTTTTTCAAGCTCCCAACAGTACACAAGAATAGTAAGTGAAATGAAAAATGGAGGAGACCACTGTTCCATTACAATTCTTGTTAGCTTTTACCAGTTTACTGTCTAGCCAACCGTTTGACCGTCCCGCATAAAAAAAATGACATGATTTCAGTTTTGAGTTTTAACATCTCAATATATTTTGCCTGCATCATAACTTTTGGACATTTACCATTTTTTTATTTTTATTTTATATTTTTTATTGGTTTACATTGTCTCAGGGGCTATTAGCTCTGACTTCGACAGCCGTTCGGTGGCCGTGGGCCCCACCACGGCACAATACGCATTCTGTCTCGTCTCTGTCGTGGTCCCTCTACATGATTTCCCTAGGCCAGGCTGGCTACAACCCTTCCCTTCAGGCTTTCGGCGCCGACCAGCTCGAAAAAAACGAGGAAAACGATGACGAGTTGCCGGTTTCCAACACGTTAGACGAGGACAGGACAAAAGGCGGCGACTCGGATAGAAAAAGCAAGTTCTTCCAGTGGTGGTATTTCGGCATATGTTGCGGGAGCCTTTTGGGAGTCTCGGTTATGTCGTACGTTCAGGACAACCTCGGATGGGGGCTCGGATTTGCTATCCCCACTCTCTCCATGCTCGTCTCCATCGTTCTTTTCTCGTGCGGAAACCGATTATACGTTCGCAAGCGGAGTGGAATTGCTAACGCCAGGTCGTTCGAGGTTGTCGTGCGTGCGGTCAAGGCGGCCGTGTCGAAGATTGTCAACGGCGGTGGGACCCGCCAGCCTGGCGACAGCGACTATGCAATAGTCGAGTTGGAGTA